GGGGGGGGAGAGCCTCTCCTTTCATCACTTTCCACCGGACCATGCGGGCGTCTCAACTGGCGGAGGTGGGGACACAAGGACATACATATGCGCACGCTGGCAAGGGAGAGGAGGGAGAGGCAAAGGTGGAAAGGGTGGGGGGGGGGGGAGGGCGTTTTTCTCGTGCGATCTCGACATGGAAGTGAATATGGGAGGGGGGAGGGGGAGGCCGCCCGAAGTGGGACACGCAGAGGCGGTTTACAACTCAGCGTGAGAGGGCAGGTAGGTCGAGGCGGAGCCAATCACAGAACCACCACCACCACCGCCGCCGCCGCCGCCGCCGCCGCCGCTGTTTGTCTGTTGAAGAAGCCGGCTTAGCCGAGCAAGCTCCTCGTCCAAAGAGCGAAGGGCCTCGGCCAGATTCGCCGGAGTTGGCTGGTCCGGGCTGGTGGCGGCCGGCGCGGAGGTATCTGAGGCAGCGGTGGCGGCCGCCGTCGAGGCAGAGGGCGCCTCGCCGACCGGGGGAGTCCGAGCGCCTGCGAGCTGGCGCAGCAGCTCCTGCAGACTGGCGGCATCGATGACCACCGGTGAGGCACCAGACCCCCCCCCGCCAGTGACGGTGCCACTGCCGGCGGTGGCTGAGGCCATGGGCCGCGATTCGGTCGCCACGGTGACCCCGTCAAAGCCCGTGAGAATGACCGGTTGCACGGGCGGCGCCGGGGCCGGAGCCGGGGCATTGGCACGGCGTACGCTTAGAAGCTGTTCCATGGGGGCAACCGGAGCGCATGGAAGCAGGGGCATGGGCAGCGAGGCCAAAAAAGGCAAGAGAGAGGAGCGGGAGGGGGGCGGGGCGTAAGGACGCATGCAGCATGTCAGACTTTGAGACAAAGTCCCCCACACAGACAGTGAGGAGAGCCCGGGGGAGAATCCGCCGCAGCAGCATGTGGCTCTACACACACACACACACACACACACACACGCACCAGAGACGACTGAAGTATGATACAAATGAGCAGAGCAGCCACCGCCACCACGCGCAAGACGATCCCCGCTTGCCACCAGGTGCGCGCGACTTCCGACTCGCGCAGTGCCCGCTGGGCGGACTGCTCGGCCGACTGGGCGCTTTGCATGGCGTCCTGCAGGGTCTTGTCCCCGGGGCCGGCGGGGAGGACAGATGACCGAGCGGCGGTGGCCGCGGCAGCGGCGGCCGCCGCCGCGGCAGCCACCGCCGCCGGGTCCCCGTCGGCGCCGGGGCCCAAGCCGAGAGTGGTGCCAGTGGAGGGGTCCCGGGCGGGCTGTGCCGCCATGCCGGTGGCCAGGACAGGCGCGCCCGCGACTCCGGGAGCCGGCCCGGCAAGCATGCTCTGGCGATCGGCCTCAATGCGCTCAAGCAGGGCATTCTTCAAGTCGGCGCCGAATTGCACGAACCCATCGGTCCCATGGGCCTCAATGAAGCCTGGCAGGCGGTGGCCAAGGGAGGTCCGCCGAACAGCGTACACGTAGATCAGCGAGCGAGGGGTGAGGACGTCAGAAATGATCTTGGGCAGGAAAAGCCCCCCCCCCCCCGGGGGGGCGGAAAACAGGTGACACATGGCAGAGGACCGGGGGCTCGAGCAGCCAGACGCACTCTTGATCAGGGTGTAGCGCAGGAACCGAATGGCCCCGGTGATGATGAGGCTTGACCGGCCGCGCCCCTCCCGGGCCAGGCCATACAGGTTCACCGTGCGGAAGGTATCGGCACTCGGGACATCCGGCGTGTGGGTGACATGCTCCACGATGTAGTACTCCCCGGGGGAGGCGGGGACCATGTGGCGCTGGGTCACCAGGACCAGTGTGGACTTCGGGCCCATGGCCTGTGTCAGGTCCATGACGTACTGGAATTTGCGCTCCGGATTCGGGGTACCGGTGGTCCAGTCGCTGGTGTACTGGAGATCTGGACAGTGGGGGGAGG